CCCATACCGTACCTGAAGCACGTCAGACACCGTAGGACGTAGCCACTCCGTAACATCCCTCGTACCCGCACCGAACCAAACATCATAGTGACCCAAGGTAACACCTGTCCATGCGTCTCCCGCTCTCAGAACATTCCAACTACGGTAGTGTTAGTAATCAAGCAAACCAGCGAAAGCGACGCAAGGAACCTCGACCATCGACAGTATTGAAAACTGTTAAAATCCGGGGAAAATGTTCAATCTGGGGTAAGGGCTGATGGTGGGTAATCGAGGCGAAATTAGGCCAATCTCCGAATAATCATGGGTTCCCGTCCCTTTCATTGTTTTTCATCATTCTTCCCTTTCCTTAATTCTATTGTCGGAAATAGTGAATCAACTGTAAGTTCCCTAAAATTTAATTCCGAGAAAGTTTAAATAAATGGCCGAATTCCTTCTGTTTCTTTTCTCTTTTACCATTTTTAATCTCTTTCTATGTTTTTAATTTCTTTGTCGGGAACATAAAATAACAAGAGTATTCCCCCTAGAATTAAATGCCGTGAAAAATAAAGAAATTAAGGGATATTATGTTTTTTCCCTTCTCCCCTACCAGTCTTAATCCTTTACCCCCTCTTTAATTTTGGTACTAAAATAGACAGAAATTTGAGGCCTCTTTTCGGCCCCGGTCGTATTGCTGCAAAAACATTGTAGCAAGGTCAGTTCCCGCGATGCCTCTTCATGACAGGCCAATCCGGGTCTAACCTTATGAACGACTGGAAATAGCGGTCTCTAGATATGCCGAGTGCGCCTACCCATCTCACCGTCTTTGAGGGTTAGTCGTAAGGTTCAGTGTGCCCAAAATCAGGGGTGCCCTGTGTTCCCCTAATTTTTGTTGCCTGGTCATACCAGAGTACCGTCAAAACACGGACTTGTCCTTGGGCCTAAGTCCCTAAACCGCAGATTTCAGGCGGCGCACTGCTTGTGGCCGCATGACAATTAGCCCGGACCACTTCTCGACGCCCCCGTCGAGCCCTATCCACTTACGTCAAATGAAGCGGATGAGCTTCAGGGTAATTGTCCGCAAAGGACGCCCACGTCGGCGTTTAATTGTCTTATGTTTCAGTTCGTTATGAGTTTTGGGACTAAGAAGTCGCTTCTTGACTCCCCTTTTTCTTCGAAAATTTGGTATGGAAAGGATTCTCCCTCTCTTCTGAGGTCGGCCTGTGATAGGTGCCGGCTCGTCAGCTTGTCTAATACGAACTCTCCGTTTGACTGTCCTGAGCACGAATAACCATTTCTTCCTCTTTCCCATCGCCAACCCTTTGACCTTTCTTTTCTCCACCCTTTTCCTCTTCTTGGAACCCTCTCCCGCCTCATATCGCCTCAAGGAAGCTCCATCCTCCATTTTGGCCTTTTCTTTCTCTTTCGGGCCTGTCAGCGATAAGGGGGGTGCAGGCCTGGGTCTAAACAACTTTAACCTAGCACTTGCCACTGGGTCCTTCCACTTGGATCCGTCTAATTCCACTATCATATATGCACCCCAATCGAGTGCCTCAACCACTCTATAAGGTCCCATCCGTCTGTTTGCGAGTTTTCCGGTCCATGTCCTCTCCAGTGCTGCGTCGTAGAGAAGGACCATATCTCCTATGCTCACCCTCTCCTTTCTGATCCGCACGTTCTTATCCCATCTCACTTTACCTTTGTCCCTCTCCACTGCCAGACGATCTGCCGCTGTCATAAGGTTGTCTTCCAAACCGTAGGCTATCTGTCTAGTTCGGGCAGCTATGAGTTCCTCTCGGGACATCTCCTCCGCCCAGTCAATGGTCGTCCAACTGTCGATGTGAAACTCTATGGGGAGTGGACAATGTCGCCCAAACCACAAGGTGTAGGGTGGGTACCCAGTGCTAGCCCGGACCGTGACGTTGTCCACCCATATCGCATATCGAAAATATCGTGGCCAATCACTGTCCTTACCCTTGCACCACTTGGACAATGATGCGATCAGAGCCTGGTGTCCCCTCTCTACTTGGGAGTTTGACTCTGGGTGGTAGGCAGTGGCTATCGAAACTCTCGCCCCAGCTCTCTGGAACACGCTCTGAACCTCGTCGGCTAGGAATTCYGCCCCTCTGTCCATCACTATCTTGCTGACACAACCATACCTAGATAAGTACTCTAGGACGAAGTTCTTCACTTTCTTTGCCGCCTTACTCCTGATAGGTCTACCGTCCACGAACCCAGTGAAATCGTCTCGTATGTTCACGACGTAGTTCATATTGCTTACCCCTTTCGGCATTTTCACCAGATCGATGTGTACCTTCTCTCCTGGTCTGGTCGGATAGGATGGATGAAGTGGCTCTTTGTATTTCACAAGAGCTCTCTTCTGATCACTCTTCGCAGGTCATACAGTACCTCTCGACGTCCTTATACTGTCCTTCCCACCAGTACAACCTGCGTACCTTTTCGTAGGTTCCTTTGACTCCCCTGTGTCCTCCGACTACCCCGTCGTGAAGCTCCGCAACTATTGTCTGTCTCTCCTCAGGGTCACAGACTACTCGTAAGGGCATCCCCGAGCCACCCGGCCTTCGAAATAGATGGCCAGCTCTAAGGCAATACTGGGCCGCTTGTCTCCGGATATCTGATTCTTGACTCTCCTCTCCTGACAAATGTAGCCCGATCATTCGGTATTTGTCCTCGTAAAGGTTAACCAGAAATCGCTCGGTGCGTCCTGGCTCCGCCATAGTTAGGGCCCCAACTACTATCGGGCGCTCCGCCTCAAGAGGGATGCGCGAAAGTCCATCTGCCACGACATTTTTAGTGTCAGATATCCTCCTCTCAACCGTGTAATCATATAGCCGAATCCGTATTAACCATTGGGCGATGGTCGGGTCCGTCAGACTAAAGTCCTTTTGGAGGACAAAAACAATCGCGGTGGGGTCTACTCTCAAGATGAACCGTCGCCCATGGATATAGTGTCTGAACGTGTCTAGACACCGGAGAACAGCTAACACTTCCTTCTTGAATTGACTGTAGTTACGCTCAGCCGTATTAAGTGTTATACTCTCAAATCTTAACGGTCTTTCCTTCCTTTCAGCGTCCTTCTGAGACAGCAACCCACCAACCGAACAGGGTCCCGCATCCGTGGACACTATGAAAGGTCTATCGGTCTCATCGTCAAAGAATGGCACGCCCAGTACGCGTCCTCCCTCCTTAAATTCGTCTTTAAGGTCTTGCATAGCCGTTTCCTGCGAGGAACCCCAACATAATTTCTCAGTCTTTCGAAGGAGTAACCTCAATGGCTCAGCCTTCTCTGCATACCCTCGTATGAATATACGCCAGTATCCGACCACCCTCTAAACTGTCGGACCTCGGTTGGACTATGTAACGGTGACGGCCAGTCCAGGAGTTTGTCTAACTTCGCCGGATCTGCTCGGCGTCCTCTCGAGTCACAGATAAAGCCCAAGATCTTAAAAGTCGAGACGACCCATCGGTTCTTTGTTCCGCTGACCGTCAAATTCGCATCGTCCAGCTGCTCAAGTACCGCGCAAATATTTGTTAGGTGCTGCTCGACGAATCTTCTAACTCCTGGTACAACCTCTGTATCATCCTTGTCTACTGACCTTTTTATAGGAAAGTCATCCAGAAAAACCTCAACCTTATCAGGGATGAAGTCCTTGAGGAYGRCTACCATGGCTCTTTGAAAAACARCTACCCGAACAACYATCATCTGTATCAGTCCCAATGRCGTATGCATAGCCGTGAGGTGYCTGTCCCTAGGATCAAGCGGTACCTCATCATARCCTGAGAACAGGTCACAGACCGAATAAATTGACCTGCCTGCGGCGCCTTCTGCTAGTAAATCGGCATGCGGCACGGAGCCCACGTCTCGTATCGTCACCGCGTTGACCTTCTGAAGGTCTTGGATCCATCGGATCTTGCCATTCGGCTTTCGTAGGAAGAACCACCGATTAGCATATGCGCTATCAGACGACTCCTCTACATGGGAAACCATCTTTTCTTTCAGGAAGGCGATAACTTCTTCCTTCTCCTTCTGGGCGTATTTCCATCCTGCGTCATTCCAAGGAACATGTGGAATCGTGTAAATCCTCGCTGGCTTAGCGTATCGAGGGTCAACCCTACCGCGCTCCGCGTCACTGAAAGCTATTGCCTTATCACATGTCTTGAGAATTTCTATCACACGTTCTCGCTCCTGTGGGGTCAGATTTCCATCTCCGATGTCCATCCCTGCTATCCTCTCTTCCGTTAGGCGTTGTGGCTCCTTTTTCTTTCTTTCT